AATAATTTTCTGCTTGTGTAAGGTGGTTTCAGAGAATGTTCTACTTACCTGGTGGCACTGTACATCATTTTTATTCTATCTGACATCAACTCAGAAATAACCAAATACACTAGATATTTCTGGGAAAAAAAGTGTCAAAACAATAAGGAAGATGCTTGAAGTTTTTAACCCAGGGCTGTTAGAAACACTAGATGATGATAGGCTCAGTTAGATCTCTAGGAGCCTTTTTCCCAGTTAAGGCTGTTATCAAATTGTTGGTTACAAAAAGAGCCATCTGAAGTGAGCTGGGAGCAGGATCTGAAACAAGAATTAACAGTAGCAGTGAAAGTAGACAGCTTTTAAGTATGTTATGAATATTAGTTAAAGTTTTATGAATCGTACTGTACTGTAGGCTGACTTTTCATGCACAGAACAAAATGTAGTCAAATTTTATTCGTGTAAGTCCATCTGGTATAAGCTGTCACAGGAGTCAGGAATAGGAATGGTTAGAAGTACTCACTCAGATGAATTGATAGTCAGATCTACCACTACAACATAAAGGAGATAGATAAAATGCTATCATCAAAGCATTTTATATTACCCATGTTCCTTTTCCTCCCTCCTAGTAGAATTTGATTAATTAGAAACCTGGATTGGACTGGATTGCTCCAGGTTTGACTATGTCATCGGTGGATTCATCAGTATGAAACTGTTCTCCCTTTGAGAGGAAAAGAGAGACTATATAAATATAGCTTCTTTAAGCTTCAGTAATTTCCACAATGAAACAACACAGACCTATATTTTTTGTAAATAAGTGCTGTAGAATTGTTTTGGATGAAGCTGGTGTTGACTTGGGTGTACACCAGTATTAAATCCAGTTCTCTTCCCTTTTTCCTCTTGGAGTAGACTTCTCTTCTTCATGGAACTATAAAATAATAGAACAATTTGGGTTGGAAGGAATCATTAAAGACCATCTCATCCAACCCTGTCTTTCACTAGACCAGGTTGCTCCAAGCCCCTGTGTCCAACCTGTTGTTGGACACTGCCAGGGATGGGGCAGCCACAGCTTCTCTGGGCACCCTGTGCCAGCGCCTTATCATCCTTGTAGTAAAAATGTCTTCCTTACCTCCACTCTAAATCGGTCCTCCACCTAGTTCCTGATGTGAGAAAATTGGGTGTTCTGTCCAAGCTGTGGTGTTGCTGTGGAGCAGATTGCACATTAGGAAAGTAAGAAGTCAGAGGGAGGGGGTTCCTGAAAGCAACTCTTATGTTTTGTTGGCAATGGTTTCCTAACCACAGGTGCTATTAAGTTCTGCAATTATAAATGGTATTTTATTTTGGTTTTTTTAATCCATTGCAGCAATGAAAAAGACCGAGTTTAGAAAGCATATCTCGCTCCCTGTGTTCCCAAATTATTCTATTTTTAAAATTGAGTAAGAATCTGATATGAAACTGTCATGGTTTAAGCCCAGCCGGTAACTCGGAACCACGCAGCCGCTCGCTCACTCCTCCCTCTTCTTGCTCCCCCCGCTCCCGGAGGGATGGGGAGGAGAATCGGAGGAATGTAACTCCCACAGGTTGAGATAACAGCACTCCAGTAACTAAGGTATAATACAAACCACTGCTGCTACCA